AATAGATCCTTTTAAAATTCTCGAGAAATATTACAAAGAATTACCAATAGCAAAACACATTTTAATTGAACATGGAAAATCTATATATTGTAAATGTGAAGAAGTCAATGCAAAACACCTAGAGTATCATATTAACATGGAATTCATCAAAGAAGTAGCATATCTTCATGATATCGGTATTTTTCTTGTTGATTCTCCACAATTTGGATGTAATGGAAAAGAGCCATATATCAAACATGGAATATTAGGTGCAAATATCCTAAGAGAACTTGGATTAGAGTATCATGCACGTGTTGCTGAAAGACATACTGGATCTGGAATTGATCCAACCCAAATTGTTGAACAACATCTCCCATTACCTACAGATAGAATATTATTACCTAACACAATAGAAGAGAAACTATTATGTTATGCTGATAAGTTCTTCTCAAAATCACATTTAGAAGATACACTAACACATCAAATGATTAGAGAAAAACTTCAAAAACATGGGAATGATGTGATTCAACGATTAGATGATTTGTTTAAAATGTTTGATTAATAACTCTTCGTCTATTATCTTTTTTATTTTTCTTTGACTTTTATCTCACAAAATAAAGATTATTATGTGAATATCATTTCAATAAAGAATATAAATGAAATCTTAAATAATAATTTCAGGAACTCATATGAATAATCTTGTATTAACAATTATTTTTTTTTTTGAAGATAGAATGAATGATAAATAAACAAAATAATTTAATTTAAAGTTACCTATCCATCAATAATTATTTATTCAGCATTACTAAGTATAAACTAGAACATAAATTCATTATAAATACATTAGTATTTATAAGTGTTATTGATTTTAATCTTGAATTACTCATCAATATCTAATATGAACAATCACTAATGTCCATCTTCTCTTCCCATTGTTCTATGAAATTGTTAATTTCATTTATACTTAATCAATTAATTCTTTTGTGATACCTTTTTACATTATTATGATAGCAATAAACTGTTTTATGCAAGGTAGTTATGTACATGTTTTTACATCCATAAAACATGTTTTCTAAAACATCAAATTCATAAATAACCAAATACAAAATATGAAAATTAAAATGAAATCATAACAACTTCTTAACTTGAAACTTCAGAGTACAAAAGAATTAAATGATTATTGATTGTATGTTTATTATAGAAACATCAAAACTAACACAACTAAAACCTAATTAATATAAACTTGTGGAAACAGATAAATTAATATCAATTTCAAATGAATATTAATTTTATTCAAAACAAACAAAAAATAAGTTAATTAAACAGTAAGTCTCTCAATTTGAATGAATATAGTTAATAACTGACTACCTCATACTGACACTGTTTTACAAAAACAATATCACCTTAAATTAAAAGTTCTACTTAATATAAAAATTATTCATTCTCAATTGATTTAGGTATTAAATTGGCATTCATTAAATACCATTATTGTCTAATTATTTCTATATTGTTAAACAACCCTTTCATATAACTATCATTCGCTATCCTTTTTAATTCATTCATTTTTGTTGTGAATAAAAAAATAACCTTTGGCATATTATTAATTTATTGTTTAATGTTTTTGTTATAGTTCTATTTACTTCATCTTCTTTTCATATCATTAAAAGTTAATTCTTTATTTTAATAACTTTATTACCATTACCTCTTTAGACTCTTAATTCTTTAACTAAAACTCATCTCTTTATTCATTTCTATTATACTAACTTTTTTTATCACTTGCTTATTCAGTTTTTTGCGTCATTGTTTATTCTTTTATCTATGCCAAGCAACTTTAATTTTTTAGGTTAGTGTATAACTTCTATCCTTAGTGGGTTATTTTTGTGTTACTTGTTTTGATTCATACTTAATTCTAGGTTGTTCTAATAAATATTATGCATCTTCTTTCCTACCATTCGTGTTACCAATACACTTTTATTCTTATTATTTTAGGGTAATTTTAATATACAAATGTATAACGTCTTCTATTTCTTAATACTTTTATAGAAGTTCTTCATTACATCCCTCTTCTTCTGTAAACACTTTTCTTATGAAATCCAATTTAAGACCATTATGTCTAAATCTTATCAATACCACAACTTCGTTATGTTGAATAGTGATTCAAATAACTTTGTCATTTCGTTTGGTCTGTCTTGAAATGGTTGTCAAATCAACAACAACAAAATTTGATTGAGCCATCTTTATACTTAAGAGATGAGACTCTGGCGTATCTATTTTGCCAAGCACATAAATAAATTACCACTTTGTTTAAGGTTTGTAAATTTCCTAATCCAAAGTTCTTAATGACACTCTTTCATTAACACATCACTTCATTGAATTTTATTAACAATGGGTTTTAACTAGTCTCAAATCACATAAAACAAACAACAATTTAATGAGACTAATTAACAAACAATGCTACTGTTTGGTAGTTGTGTAGTTAAATAGTACCAGAGTTAAAAATAAGTACATTGTCATACCACTACTTAACTCTAGTCGAATTCCATTTTTGTTTGCTTCAAAATTTAACAAGGGAATGGTATTTTGTGGAGAAGAAGGAGTATGAAAAAGAAGTAAGAGAATAAAAATAGTAAAATGAACCAAAAAAAACTAAAAGAATGGTCAAAGTAAAATTGAAGAGAAGAAAAAAAGAAAAAAAGAAATTGAACTAAGTAACTGAAACTAAAATTCAGTTTAAGTTATTAAAAAGAATATGTCTGAAGTTGATCATTACCTTGAAACATTGTTTGGTGGAAAGTTAATAACAGAAGCAGAAGTAAAAGATCTTTGTGAAAAGGTTATTGAGATTTTAGATAAAGAACCAAATATACAAAAGTTACAAAGTCCAGTAACTATTTGTGGAGATGTACATGGACAATATTATGACTTAAAAAAATTATTTGAAACAGGAGGAGAAGTTCCAGATACAAAATATTTATTTATGGGAGATTATGTTGATCGAGGATATCATTGTTTAGAAACGGTGTTGTTACTATTAGCTTTAAAAGTGAAATTTCCAGAACGAATAATTCTCTTACGAGGAAATCATGAAAGTAGACAAATTACTCAAGTATATGGATTTTATGATGAATCAATCAGAAAATATAAATCATTTAATGTATGGAAATACTGTACTGAAGCATTTGATTATTTAGGATTAGCTGCTATTATTGATCAAAAGATCTTTTGTATTCATGGAGGTATTTCACCGTTTGTCAATAGTCTTGACGATATTACTAAAATGGAAAGAAGACAAGAAATACCTCATGAAGGAGCAATGTGTGATTTGTTATGGTCTGATCCAGATCCAGCTACAAATGATTGGAAATCAAGTCCTCGTGGAGCTGGTCATGTTTTTGGGGAAAATAATGTTGTAAAATTTAATCATACAAATGGTATAGATTTAATTTGTAGAGCTCATCAATTAGTTAATGAAGGATATAAATGGTGTTTTGATAAAAAATTAGTTACAGTTTGGTCTGCTCCAAATTATTGTTATCGTTGTACAAATGATGCTGCTATATTTGTTATTAAAGGAGAAAATAAACAATTCTTAACTTTTAGTGCCTCTTCTGATCCAAATAGAGCTGCTGTACCAAATATTCCATTACCCGAAGCATATCTTTAAAACTAAAAATAATAGAATCTCAACCTTATTTTTTTATTAAATTTATTAGTTTTTTTTACTATTAAATATAACTTTAAAATAAAGAAAAAATAAAAGAAACTTTTAATTATTTAATGGGAAAAGTACACGGAGGATTAACACGTGCAGGTAAAGTTAGAAATCAAACTAAAAAAGTTGAACAAGAACAAACGACTAGAAAGAAACATTCAAGTGGAAGAGCAAATTTAAGAGAAAAATATAATAAACGACAAGAATTATTAAATGGAGAAACAAAGAAGTATAAATTTAATGCTCAATCTTAATTTAAATATTTGTATTTTATATTTGTATTTTAGAATAAAGAGAGAAATTTATTAATTAAATTAAAAATAAAAATAATAATCATAGAATTAAATAACAACATTATAATATTATTATTAAATATCTTTTTTATTCTGCTTCCTCCTCTTCTTCTTCATTATCATCTTCATCTTCTACAGCTTTTAGAGATTCATCAACTATTTCTCTTACTCTTCTGTTATATTCTCTTTTATTTCTAACAAATAATTCAGCAGCTTCACCATTTGCTGGTGAACTAGGATTTGGTTCATTAAGAAGTAATTGAATTGATGATAAAATAGCAATAACATCATATGTTGGTGACCATTGAGATGATAAAATATCTAAACAAATATTTCCATTAGGATATACTAAAATGTGAGAACATTTTATTGTTATTTTATTAATGAATTTAATTCTTTCAATCACGAAATCATCAAATTTATTATTATTATGTCTTTTCTGTAAGTATTGATTAAGATAAAATACATTAGTTTTTAAGGATTATTTTATTTATTACATGAGGTATTTGCTGACGTGTGTATATATTTCTGATTGAAAAGAAATCAGGAATAAAAAGATATAAAAAACAAACCATTTGGATGGAACATTTTTGATATAAAGACTACTTTTGGAGGTTTAATAGGATATTCTTCAGTAAATGTCATTGAAAGTTGGAAAATACCACTTTCCCAAATTGTATCATCTGGACCAAATATAACACATGTCCATTTCATAATGTCATCTTCATCAGGACAAGCACTAATTCCTTCAGGGGGACTCTGTGATAACTTTTTGAGATCTATTAATAATCTTTTTCGGGCATTAGCTTCACTCATCTTGTGATGACTGTTTTTTGAAGTTTGTTTGTTGAAGAAAAATCTCTATTGTATTTTCGGGAAGATCATCTATTTCCTAGGATAAACTCCCGGTCTTCAAGCCCTGTTGAAGGGTTGAAAATTATCTTTTTAAAAAAAATAGGAAACTAACTAGAACTATAAATAAATAATTTAAAAAAAAAATTAAATTTGAAATACTTCAAGTGTTTCTTCTATTTTTGTATTCATCATCTTTTTGATGTTTTATTAATAAAAAGATCTTTTCATAAATTATAAGTTTCTTTCAAAAGAAAAAGATTCAATTTTTGAAAAATTAAAAAAATTCTAATAAAAAAAATAATTTTATTGATGATATCAAAAACATTTGAATGGGGAGTATTTTATAAAATAGATGTTGATTCTTTTAGTCATGATTATAAGAGTATAGAAAAGACTAAATCAAAAAGAAAAGGTGGGACAATTTCTGGGATATCAAGAAGATTAGATTATTTAAAACAATTAAATATTACTAGTGTTGTTTTATATAATTATCCTTCTTTTTCTTATATTGATTTAGTAACTTCTCAATTACATAATCTCAATATCTCACTTTTCCTTTCAATCAATAAAAATACATCAATCACCAATTCATTATTACAAACACCAATTGATGGATTTTTTATTAAACATCCTCTTCAAGCAAAATCATTTGTACAAAATTTAAAACAATCTTTTCAACAAGAAAAGAAACCATTATTAATTGCTGATGAAAATTTAAATTCTTCTAAAGAACATTTTCAAGAAAGTTTATTCTTGAAAACATTAAAATATATTCATGACTATGGCTTTTCTTATTTAACCCAAGAAGTAACACAATTATATCTTTCATTTTTTTATGATGGAATTGTTGATTATTCAGGAAATTGTATTTGTCATAACTATGCAAATGAGAAAGGAATTTATAAATTTCTTCCAGAGTTTTTAGTTAGTCTCCATTATAATTTCCATACATTACTCTATCCATCAAATACAATTCTTGTTACTCCAGTGTTTAGAGATGAAAAGGCAAAAGATGCAATAACTCTTATAGCTCGTTATAGTAGTCCAATTATGATAGAAATGGGAATTGAATTACATCAAACAAAAGAAAAAGAGCCTTTACGTTGGTCCTGGGCAGAAAATAAAGAAAAATCAAAAGAAATGTTTTATTACAACATGAAATTGTTTCAAACAAGAAAAGATACTAAAGTTGGTGTTCCTACTATTTTCACACAGAAAGAGGAGTTTATTATTGATTAAAATATTATTTAATTAAATATTTATTACATGAAAATTTTTATGAATGAACAAATAAAAAATATGAAAGAATTTATTGTTGTTTGTATTCTCTAAATAAACAAAAATTAATTGAAAGAGAAAACAGAATCTAATTACTTTTTACTTTATTTATAATATTTTCTTATTTCTTCATTTTTATTTAAAAAAAGTACTTGGTTTAGAAGGATAGAATTGAACTTAATAATAATTGAAATGATATTCTATTGTTATTGATGCTTTTAATATTAATAATTGAATTCCATTTAATGAATATGTAGAGTGATATTTATTTAAATAAGGAAAAGAAGAGATTAACTTGTATAAAAGAAGAGATTTATTTGTTCAATCTAATACAATAATGAATTTTCTTCTTTTTTGATGAATTGTTAAACAAAGAGTTTAGATGAGAGGATGATTTGAATTATTATTTATTTAGACATCTTTTTATTAAGTGTTTTTGAAGTAGAAATGGTTTCAATATTAAAGTATTTGTTGATGGTTTTTAATGTAAATAAAACAAGACAAACTAGAATTGAGTGTTATTTATTTTCATTAATCATGGTGTAACATTTGTTTATTAGTATTTTACTGTTGTATTGATATCTTTCTATTATCAAATATTATTATCTATAATTTGATTATTCTAACAGAGCAGTAGATTGTTAGGTGAGTAATTTTTTGATAATCTTATGATGATGGAATAGAGATATATGAAAATGAAATAACACAAAGAAAAAAAGAAAAAAAAAAAAAAAAAGAAATATTTAAATTAAAAAGAACTATAAAAGAAAATAAAAAGAAATTGAAAATAAATGAGTCATTATTATACCAAAGAAGAAGCACAAATAGTCAAACAAAATGTTCAAAAAACAAATGAAGAATCATATAAAGCAGTTCAAAGAAATGGGGAGGCAATTAATTCATTAGAGGTAACAGCATCTGACCAAAGAGAACAAGCACATGAAATGAAGGTAGCATCAAGTGATGTTAAATTTACAATGAAAAAGCGAACAAAGATGATTATAATAGGGTCAGTTATTGGAGGGATTATATTAGCTGTTGTTATAATAATATTAATAATTGTTATTATTGTAGTTGCTAAATAATTAAGTGTTTATTAAAGAAATAAATAAACTTAAAAGTTTAATTAATTTTGAATAAAGAAAGTAATAAAGAAATAATTAATATATTATTATTGCTTCACAATGTTTTAATGCATCAGGTGCTATACAAATAGTTTTGGATAATTTTATTCTTTTCATTTTACTGCATCCTTTAAAACATTTTGTTGGTATTTCTTTAACACTTTTTGGTATTTCTATTTCAATTAAATTTTCACAAAATTCAAAACATGACTTTTTTATAATTTTTAATGTTGATGGTAATTGAATTGATGTTAATGATGTACATCTATAAAAACTATATTTTCCTAATTTTGTAATTCCTTCTGGAATTTGAATTGATTCTAAATTATAATTACAATTAAAACATCCATTTTCTATTATATTTACTTCTTTTGGAATAGTATTGTTATTATTATTTAATGATTCTTCTTTTCCATAATAAATTTGATTGCATTTGACTGAATTTAGTTTAAGTAGTTTTGAAATTGAATATGGAATTTTCCCATATATTGTTGGTCCATTACAAATTATTTTTATCTCTTTATGTGGAATCATTGTTAATTCACATATTGAATTAAATGGTGATAATTTTATTGTTTTTAATGAAACACATCCTTTAAATGTTCCTTCTTTAATAGTATTCCAACCATATCCAAAATCAATCAGTGTTAAATTACTACATCCATAAAATAACTCTTTTCCTAATTCTCTAATACAATTAGGTAATATTATTTGATTAAGTTGTGTATTTTCATTAAATGTTTTTCTTCCTATTTTTGTTACATTTGAAAGAATATTTAAATTTGTTATTGAAGTAGGAAGTCTAATTTTTAAATCAGTTATATGAAGTTTATTTACCCTTTCTTCACTATTTAAAGACTCTAATAAACTAACCTGATTAACAATTATTCTTAAGTATTTTTTTGAATTTTCTTTAAAATTAATTTCTGTCAAATTAATAGGATAACAATATGTAATATTTGAATATTTATCATCTATTTCTTCTTCTGGAGAATATAAATATTGAGTTTCTATACAATGAAAGAGTTTCTTACTTTGGTTGTTTAATGGAATTGGATTAAATCTAAACTTGTCTAATAAATCTTTATTCTTTCTACTGACAAGAGTCATATTCATTAATTCATTCGAATTACGTAGATATTTTGCTACAATCATCATGGAATATGAATCTAGTTGTTTCATATTTATGTTCTAATTTAATTAATTATTAGTTTTTTAAGTTGATTTTATTTTTATAAACTAGTTTTTCTATTTTTATATATAATAAATATATTGAATATCTAGATTGTCTATAGTCTACTAAGTTTATCTGTTGGTGGTTTTTATACTTAAAATGAATTTAGTTCTAGGGTATATAAATTCAATAGAATACATTAGTTATCTTTAAATAAACAAGTATTTTCTTTTTTACTTAATTTAATTCTTTTGAACTTATTAATTGTTATTTTCAATAGACGTCATTTAACAAATATAATGTTTTTGATTCTTAGTTTCATTTATATTTTATAGGTCAATATTGTGTTATAAAGATAAATGTAATTAAATTGGTATTATGTATTTTTGTTATATTAAAAAATAGAGTTAAAATTGTGTATCAGACAAAAATCAAAACATTTAAGAAAATTGTTAATTGTATAGGTTAAATGATAGAATTATTTTCTATTTTATATGTTTAAGAGTAATTATATTTTATTTACAACTTTTTTGATATTTTATGTTCTTTTATAAATGTTGATTCAAACAACATAATTTCCTGTTTTCAAATAGTGCAGAATCATTTAGTTGAATCAAAAGAATATAAAAATGAGATTTCTATTGGTGAAGATTTTGTATTATGTTAATTAAAATTAATGTAATTAATAAGGATATAATTTATTGTAATTATTTCAATAATTAATTATTTTTATATTTACATACATCTTATAAATGAATTAAAAATATTAATACAATAATGTTTTTTTATTTTAACTTTTTAATACAATATTTAGTTATTTGAATCAAATAAAACGTTGTTAAGAAGATAAATTTAAAATAATATAATAATAATATTATTATTTGATATTTATCTTAATAACTAGTATGTTTATGACATGGGGTTAAATAATTGACTAACTATTGTTTTCTCATAAAAATAATCAATGTCCTTTTTAATGGTATTTCATTAAATTAACTTTTCATTATATTTATTATTAATTATGTATTTATTTAACTTGATAATATAAAAGAATATAATCATATAAACCACTACTGAATAAATAATTTCTATTGATGAAATTCTCTTTTATTTCAATAATGTATTTTATTGGGAAATAAATTTACAATATGGAATGATGAATAAATAGTTAAAAATAGGAACCAAAATAAACAAAGAAATAATATATATAAATAAAAATTATAAAAATAAAAATGAATAAAATAAATTGCATAAATAAAATAATGTTAAATAATTTGCATCAATAAATTAAACACTTTTTTATTTCATATTTCTAATTTCTATAATAAAAAATACATCCTTTATTTCATCATTCTTTTCATCTTTTATTATCTCTTTTTGAATCATTCCTTTTTATCTTCTTTCATTTTATATTCTCAACTTTCTTCTTTTATTCTTTCATCTTCTTCTACTTCCTAATTTCACTTTTTTCTTTTATATCATTCTTTCTCTTCATTTTTCTCTTCATTTCTCTTCATTTTTCTCTTATTTCCTTTTTTTCATTGCCTTTATAATTTATTATG